ACCTTGGGCCCATCTAAGGAAGTAGCCGTTAGGGGTGGCCTAGTCAGAAGAGCACATTCCCCCCTCCAATTCAATAATACAAAAGTAGCCGTTAGCTTCAAGCAGTTTGAGATTATATCCCTCTCTCTCTTTCCCCTTGCTTCTTTCCCCAAATCTTCGCTCTCTAAAAACCAACAAAACCCCACTCTCTCTCTCTCTCCTTCCTCTCTCAAACTCTAGATAGAAATCTCACATACCCATTTCCGAGCTCAATGAGAATCCAAGGGAGGAGAGAGAATCGGAAGAAGCGAACCCTCTTCAATTCCCTCCTCCTCCTCCTCTTCATCCTCCTCCTCCCCCTACTGAGCCCAGCGGGAGCCCAGCCCGCCGACGGCGTCGTGATCACCGAGGCAGACTACCAAGGCCTGCAGGCCTTCAAGCGCTCCCTCGTCGACCCCGCCGGGGTCCTCCGCAGCTGGAACGACACCGGCCTCGGCGCCTGCCTCGGCGCCTGGGCGGGGATAAAATGCGTCCGCGGACAGGTCATCGCTATCCAGCTCCCGTGGCGCTATCTCGGCGGCAGGCTCACCGAGGAGATCGGCCAGCTCACCGCCCTCCGAAAGCTCAGCCTCCACGATAACCTCATCGGGGGCCAGATACCTGAGAGCATCGGGTTCTTGCCCAATCTCAGGGGGCTGTACCTGTTCAGCAATCGGTTCTCCGGATCGATCCCTGCTTCGATCGGTAACTGCTTCGCTCTCCAGGCTATCGATCTCAGCAACAATCTGCTCGTCGGTGCCATTCCTTCTTCCGTTTCGAACTCGAGTAAGTTGTACAGGTTGAACCTTAGCTACAACAATCTATCGGGTTCGATCCCTGCTGGGATACCTCGATCGCCGTCGCTGAACTTCCTGTCTTTGAATAATAACAATCTCTCTGGTTCAGTTTCTGATACCTGGGGAGATGATAATGTAACTTACCAGCTTCAAAGATTGAATATTGATAACAATTCGTTTTCTGGGAGCATACCCGGTACCCTTAGTAGGCTGCCGTTGTTGCTGGAGATCACTCTGAGTAATAATCAGTTCGATGGAAGGATTCCTGAAGAATTAGGATCACTTCCTAAGCTTCAGAGATTGGATTTGTCCTCAAATTCCATCTCCGGCAGCTTCCCTGTTTCATTCTCCAACTTATCATCTTTGGTTGAGTTGAGGCTCGATAACAATCTCATTGATGGTCGGGTCCCTGAATCGGTTGATGGGATGCAAAACCTGTCGATCTTCTCCATGAAGAAGAACAGGCTCACCGGTGAAATCCCCGAAACGGTTGGAAACCTTACGAACTTGTCTCGGTTGGATTTCTCCGATAACGAATTCGACGGAGGAATCCCTTCCTCATTGATTCATCTCAGCAACCTCACCTTCTTCAATGTCTCGAACAACAACCTCTCCGGTCCCGTACCCCCCGCTCTCGCGCAGGAATTCAACGAAAGCTCGTTCAGAGGGAACATTCAGCTCTGCGGGTTTAGCCCTTCGGCCCCTTGCCCTTCGCCGTCTCCATCCCCAAACCTCCCCCCTGCCGAGTCTCCTCCTGCTCAGAAAACCCATCGCCGTCGAAAGCTGAGCACCCGAGATATAATCCTCATTGCTGCAGGGATTTTGCTCGCAGTCCTGCTTCTCCTCTGCTGTATCCTTCTCTGTTGTCTGCTCAGGAAAAGAACCGCAATAAGCAAGAAGAGCAAAGATGCCGCTGCGGGGAGAGGGGAGAAGCCCGGCGGGCCCTCGGCGGGCCCCGAAGTCGAATCCGGGGGCGAGGCAGGAGGCAAACTGGTGCACTTTGATGGGCCTTTTGTGTTCACCGCAGATGATCTTTTGTGTGCAACCGCTGAGATAATGGGGAAGAGCACTTACGGGACCGTGTACAAGGCTACATTGGAGGATGGGCATGAGGTTGCAGTGAAGAGATTGAGGGAGAAAATTGCAAAAGGGCAGAGGGAGTTTGAGAGTGAGGTTAATTTGCTTGGAAAAATTAGGCATGAGAATTTATTGGCCCTGAGAGCTTATTATTTGGGGCCTAAAGGGGAGAAGCTGCTGGTGTTCGATTACATGTCAAAGGGGAGTCTTGCTGCTTTTCTTCATGGTGAGCTCTCAATTTGAACCTAGCATTTCTTTCTTTTTTTAGTTTATATGATGCTACTGACATTCATACTCCATGCTCAATTTGTGGTACTGTGTCCTACTTCAGTTTAGACCAAATTTACATTAGTACTTCATTAAGATAATTACTATCATGTCTTAATTGCTTCCAACCAAGTTCTGTTAGGTTTAGTTGTAATTTTGTTTGGCATGTGGACAATAACCTTCTTCGAACTATCTCAATTGGTTCTCTCTCATTTTATCTTCAGTTGGAGCCGTCTCTTACAAAATACATTAATTTTTTTAACCTATATGTTAGTGTATATCTACAAGACGGTCGTAATATTTGAATTTCTACTACAATCATTTTTCACATGTTATTTTTTTAAGTGTGTCTGTGTGTAACAGCCTGATCTATAAATGTTGTTCGTCTTACGGCTGTCTTGTAGAGTTTTCCCATCAATCTCACCGATACTATGCATCGGTGCTCCTTTATTTAAGGATAAATTTTTGTTTTAGACCTCTTTAGAAACTTATTTGCAAAAAAACGACCTATTTTGAAAATAATTGCCAAATTCGATCCAGTTTCAGCTTAACTGGCTGAAACTGGATCGAATTTGGCGAAAAAACTAAGAAAACTTTACGGGACTTGAAGTCTCGTGAAGTTTAAGCCCCCATAAGCAAGTTAATTTGGAGCTTAAACTTTACGGGACTTCAAGTCTCATGAAGTTTTTTTCGCCAAATTCGACCCAGCCAGTCGAATTTGACAATTATTTTCGAAATAGGTCGTTTTTTACAAATAAGTTTCTAAACAGGACTATTTTAAAAATTTGTCCTTTTATTTAAACTAGAGTTATGTAATTAGACCCTTAACAATTGTCTTTTTTTTTCCTCCCTGAAATCGTAGCTAGAGGACCAGATGCACCAATAAACTGGGCGACAAGGATGAGCATAATCCACGGCACAACAAGAGGCCTCCACCACCCCAACCTCAAGCCAACATCATCCACGCAAACTCACGCAAGCCGCCAACATCCTCCTGGACCGCCAACCGCGGCCCCGACAGGATCTCCGCTAGCGGCCTACTCCCCGCCTCTCATGACCGCCGCCGCGCAACTCCAAGTCGTCCGCCACGCGGCCTGCCCTCGCGCTACCGCGCCCCGAGCTCCTCCAAGCTCAAGAAGGCCAACACCAAGACCGACGTCTACAGCCTCGGCGTCATATTCCTCGAGCTCCTCACGGGCAAGTCGCCTGGCGAGACGACGAACGGGGCTGATTTGCCGCAGTGGGTGGCGTCGATAGTGAAGGAGGAGTGGACTAATGAGGTGTTCGATCTGGAGCTGATGAGGGAGGTCGAAGGGAATGTAGGCGATGAGCTGCTGAACACCCTGAAGTTGGCCCTGCATTGTGTTGATCCGTCGCCTGCAGCGAGGCCGGAGGTCGGAGACGTGCTCCAGCAGCTGCAGGAGATCAAGCCCGATCCTGGCGGCAGCACGGACGGAGGCGGGGCCGAGCCGGGGAAGGAGTGAGGAGGGCTGCTGCCGCTGCTGGTTCATCAGGAGCTGGTGATGTTTGATGAGGGGGGAGGAGTTGATTGTTTTCAGTAGGGCATCACAATTCTTTGATTCTTGAAGTTTTTGAAACTCATTACTCAGTGTGATTGTATATAAGTAGCAGGCTATTATTTGTTTGGGATTTTATGTTTTGTTGTCAATGTAGTTGTTATGTTTTAATCATAAGATTGATTGCATTCAAAAGTGTGGTGAATAAAAAATTGCAGATTGCTAGCATTCTTTTAGTTCCTGGTTTTATTTTAGAGAAGCACTGTATGTATGCAAATGTTATCAATGAAAATTTTGTAGTTGTTTGTTATTGTCTGATTCAGCATTTGAGGAGGAATTTGTTGGGAATAAAAGTTCAAATATAAATCATTCAGTACAAAAGGATGAATGGGCTTTTGCGGTTAATGTTACTAAAGGGTGAGAGCCCAGTCCTAGTGCATGGCCCTCAGCATAGCAGGCTTTGAGGCCTGCTCACTTATTAGGCTAAAAAGTCCCACAGTACTCGTGAACAAAAATGATGGTACGTTTCTGAAGCTAAAACCTAACTTCATGAGCCTTGGGTCCTCATAAAGCCTTCAGGCCTAAACAGTTGAGAATGGGGAAGCCTTTCGTTAAAATTTGGCATAAAGTTTATGTGAAGTATGTAACGAGTTAATCGAATCATTGGTATTTGTACTTAGGTTATGTTTGGATTAGGGACTTTTTAATCCGGAGATTAATTTAACTCACTATCGTCCTGGGATAACAGTCCAGTGGACTATAATGAGTTAAATTTTTAATAATATGTTTGGTTTAAATTGTTGTTAACACCTCTAATACCGATATCATGTTTGAGAACTTGTCATTATAAGGGGGTATAAGATTAGAACATAACATGAAATGTCCACAATGCCCTCTTCATATTAGTGAAGTATTTCAGGAATTTGTTTGTAATTTTTAGATTTTCATCGGATTGTTTGAAATTCATATTTATAAAGGGAATGTTTGTAATTTTCTTTTTTTTGTTTTTTTTTTTGCAATTTTCTAAACTTTAAAGGGGTTGTTTGTAATTTTTGAAGTGCTTTGAATTTATTTGTAGCCTTTGAAATTCAGGTGGTTGATTGAAATTTACAAAAAATTAGGGTGTTATTTGTAATATTTAAATTTTGCGGAGGGTTGTTTCTTATTTTCAAGTGATGTTGAAGTTTACAAATTTTTTCTAGGGTTGTTGCAAATTAGTTTTTTAGGGGGCTATTTGTAATATTTTATTTTATTTCTTCATTTGTAGTTTTTGGATTTTTCAAATGGTTTCTCATAATTTTCAGATTATGGGGTCTTTTTGTAATATTTTATTTATTTAGGGGATGTTTTATAACTTTTAGATTTTTCCATTTTGGCAAAAGATCTTTCCAAATATACGGAGATTAACAAATATTTGGATTTAGGGGAGTTAATATGCAAATGAGTATAAGCAATCAAAGTGGGGATACAAAAATGGGATTATTAGTATGCAATAGAAGTGGATGAGGGAAATAATTGGGAATGAAAAATCTTAATAATTTTTAGAAAGGTAAGTCATAATGATGTCATTTTAGATCTAATACTAAGTAAGAAATAGTGTCAAGACTATAATAACCCCCCCCCCCACCCCACACCAACCAAAAAAGGGGGAAAATTGCCTTGGGGAACAATTTAAATTGCCGGCATCATCCCCACCCCAGTCAAGAACCATAACCTTAAAAACCCTTAAACGAACAAAGTGTGGCAGGCGAGCTCGTCGAACATGGCGGTGGCTTCAGGCGAATTGCAGGCGAGCTCGAAGAAATCGCAGGCGAAGTCGAGGAGTGTCAGTGCGAGTTCGAGGGCTGCGACTTTCCGCAGGCCGAGTTCAGTGGCTGGCGACTCTGTCCACAGTGCCGACGATTTCCGCGATGGGCTGGCGCAGCCTGTCGCAGCCCTAGGGACGTTCCTCTATAAAGGTGGACGAGAGGCGAGGCGCGCGCGGGTGTGTTCCTTTTCCCCCTTCCTTCGTCTGCGAATTCTTGTTTTCTTCGTGGCGGCGGCCTCACCCTCTGCCTCTGCAGCGATCTCTCTCTCTTTCTCTCTGTTCTCACGTGATTGGGAAGGAGATTGAAAGGAAGAATTTATTGTGGAGAAATTAAGAGGGGTTATTTAAGAAGTGGGAGAATCTTACTGTAGCTACAATAAAGATTGTATTTATTGAGGAATCTCAAGTTTGAGATTCGCTCTTGAGTTGTAATTTCTTGTTAGATTAATAAGAAATTTACTGTGTGGCTCCCGAGGACGTAGGCAGTTGCCGAACCTCGTTAAAACTTGGTGTACTTTTTCTATTCTGTGTTTCTGCTATCTTAGGGATTTCGGCGTTTAATTCCCAACAACTAGTATCAGAGCGTGAAACGATCTAGAGGAAGTCAGATTCAAGTGGGAGCCATGGCCGCAGATGAAGGAAAAATGAGACTTGAGAAGTTTGATGAAACAGATTTTGGATTCTGGAAAATGCAGATAGAGGATTATCTGTATCAGAAAAATCTGTATCAACCACTATCGGGGAAAAAGCCGGATTCTATGAAGGCAGATGAGTGGAACCTTCTAGATAGATAAGCTCTCGGAGTTATCAGATTGACGTTGACTCGCAATGTTGCGTTCAACATAGCGAAGGAGAAGACCACGGCGGGTCTTATTACAGCACTCTCAAACATGTATGAGAAGCCATCAGTCGTGAACAAAGTTCATTTGATGCGGCGGTTATTCAATCTGAAAATGGCGGAAGGCGCGTCAGTAGCACAACACCTCAATGAACTCAACACGGTCACAACCCAATTGAGTTCAGTTAAAATTGAGTTTGATGAAGAAGTTTGGGCGTTGATACTTTTGTCCTTCCTACCAGAAAGCTGGAACGCTACAGTCACAGCAGTGAGTAGCTCGTCGGGAAGCACTAAGTTGAAGTTCGGCGACGTTCGTGATCTGGTTCTCAGTGAGGAGATCCGATGGAGAGAGTCGGGTGAATCTACAACCTCTTCTGTATTGCATACAGAGTCAAGGGGTAGAAATTCAACCAGAGGGAACGGACGGGGCAGATCAAACTACAGAGGTAGATCAAAGATCTGGTTCTCAGTGAGGAGATCCGATGGAGAGAGTCGGGTGAATCTACAACCTCTTCTGTATTGCATACAGAGTCAAGGGGTAGAAATTCAACCAGAGGGAACAGAGGAGGCAGATCAAACTACATAGGTAGATCAAAGGACAGGAGGTCCAAATCCAGGAATCCAAGCAACAGCTCGAAGGCTATCGAGTGTTGGAATTGTGGAAAGACCGGACATTACAAGAATCAGTGCAAGAGTGCACAGAAGGAGAAGGAGGCGAAGACAGAGGTGAATGTCACTTCCACCTCAGGAGGAGACGACGCATTGATATGCTCTTTGGAGAGCAAGGAGGAATCTTGGGTGTTAGATTCAGCAGCGTCGTTCCACGCTACTTCTCAGAAAGAATTCTTAGAGAAGTATGTTCCCGGAAATCTTGGATACGTATACCTTGGTGATGATCAACCGTGTGCTATTATGGGCAAATGAGTAGTGAAAATTAAGTTGAACGGGTCACTATGGGAGCTGAAGGATATCAGGCATATTCCCGACCTGAGAAAGAACTTAATATCCGTAGGCCAGTTGGCTGGCAAAGGATACACTATGACCTTCCATGGAGATGATTGGAAGATCTCAAAGGGCACAATGACGATTGCCCGAGGCAAGAAGACTGGTACCCTGTATATGATAGCTGGTGCATGTTGTTTGATCTCAGTTGCAACAGGCAATGAGATTTCAAAGCTGTGGCACCAGAGACTCGGTCATATGAGTGAGAAGGGGATGAAAATCATGCACACAAAGGGGAAACTCCCAGGACTGCAGTCAGTAGAGATGGATATGTGTGAAGAATGCATACTTGGAAAGCAGAAGAGAGTCAGCTTTCAGACAAGTGGCAGAACCCCCGGGAAAGAGAAGCTAGAGCTCGTTCACTCAGATGTGTGGGGACCAACAACCACCGCGTCCATTGGTGGAAAACACTACTTCGTGGCTTTTATCGATGATCACTCTCGGAAAAGTGTGGGTCTACTTTCTGAAGCATAAGTCAGAAGTATTTGAAGCTTTCAGGAGATGGAAAGCTATGGTCGAGAATGAGACCGGTCTGAGAATAAAGAAGCTCAGGACCGATAATGGCGGTGAGTATGAAGACACCGGATTCAAGAAGTTCTGCTATGAGCACGGGATCAGAATTGAAAGAACTGTGCCCGGCACGTCTCAGCAAAATGGTGTAGCTGAGCGGATGAACCGAACGTTGACAGAGAGAGCCAGAAGCATTCGGGTACAGTCAGGCCTACCGAAGCAGTTCTGGGCAGAAGCAGTCAACACAGCAGCTTACTTGATCAACCGAGGTCCATCGGTTCCATTGGAGCACAGAATACCAGAGGAGGTATGGTGGGGAAAGGAGGTAAAACTCTCACATCTTAAAGTTTTCGGTTGTATAGCTTACATGCATATTAGTGATCAAGGTAGGAATAAGCTTGATCCCAAGTCAAAGAAATGCACTTTCATCGGCTATGGTGAAGATGAGTTCGGCTACCGCATTTGGGACAACGAAAACAAGAAAGTGATCAGGAGCAGAGATGTGATATTTAACGAGAATGTGATGTACAAGGACATATATAAGACAGATGACTCAAAGAGCGAGTCAACATTTATAGATGCAGATGATGTCCCGAGTAACCTCTCGGAAGAACCCAATGCAGAAGGTCCTCAGCCAGAAGAGCCTGTTGGACAAGATGGTGCGCAGGAGCCCGATGCACCAGCTCCGATATTAAGAAGATCTTCTCGTCCTCCTGTACCCAACAGGAGATATATGAACTATCTGTTGTTGACAGATGGTGGGGAGCCTGAAAGCTACGATGAAGCTTGTCAAGGTGGAGATGCGAGCAAGTGGGAGCTTGCTATGAAAGATGAGATGAAGTCTCTTATCTCAAACCAGACGTGGGAACTAGCTGAGTTGCCTACGGGTAAGAAGACACTCCACAATAAATGGGTGTATCGGGTGAAAGAAGAGCAAGATGGTTCTAGAAGATATAAGGCCCGGCTAGTTGTCAAAGGTTTCCAGCAGAAGGAATGAATTGACTACACTGATATTTTTGCTCCCGTGGTGAAGCTAAATACTATCAGGACCGTGATGAGTATTGTAGCAATTGAAGATC